TTAACCCAGTAGATGCCTGTCCTTCACTTTGCTGCCACAGAAGGAAAGATCTGACCCCTTCCAATGTTACAGCTGGCATTGGTCTGTCCAGAGGCAGTTGTGATAACTAAAGCATCCTGTGTCTCCAGACCCTCAGTCAAGACTCCCAGAGCCGTGGGACGCCTCGGTGACTGTGTACAGATCACTAGCTTCTTACCTGGGCTCCCACCTGGCTTCCACCTTCCACACCACATTGGAGACCTTGTTCAGACTTCCACATTCACAGCATATCCAGAACTGCAAACAACATGAACATGTGAGGTAGAGGTAGCACCTTGGCCCCCTCCGCTGCTTAAAGGGCCCATCAGAGAACAGTTCTCAGCACCCACCTACTCACAGCTACCTTACTCTTCTCCGTCCAATCCAGTGACATCCTGTGTGGCTAATGATAAAACTGCTGCACATCGCCTTGGCAACATGCACATTTGCTAAAAGAGGAAGTAGATTCTGAACTTTATTTTGAAGTATCTCTCTGTAGGTCCCTCGCACTAATTTAGGAAATATTTTTAAAGGCAATGGATAAAAATACCCGAGAAATAGTAGCAAGAAATATTTCATGTGCATTAACGTTCATGAAATATGTAAGGACTTTTGTTTTTTTAATATGAATCAAAAAGTTTTGGTGCTATTAATGTTTCTTAGTATTCTGCATTAAAATATTATTTCTGCTCTAACCCTAATGCTATATTTAGTCTTCTAGTAACTTGCTGAAATGATTGTACACTGGAGGTTCCCATAAAGGAATTTGTATATGGTTAAAGAAAATAAAGATTACTCTGAGGAAACCCTAGCTGTACATTGGAAAACAATAAAAGGTTAGCACTTGGAAACTACAGGGTGTTAGATTTACAAATAAAGGTTAAAATTTAAGAATTTCTGAATCCTTATTGTAGGTTCCCAGCAAAAGGAAATGTAGCCTCAGAATTTGGCTATTTATTATTTGCATTCCACGTCAACATTTCTGTGGCTTTTTTCCCTCTTTTCCTTTCCATCAGATTTTGTTAGGTACACAAAAGACAAAAGAAATGGAAAATTTTTCAAAACTGAACCTAAATACTGAAAGATAATAGAACCCAGGGCAGCCAAACACCACACATGGATTCGCAGCATTGTTTTCATGTTTCAATTTGTTGGTCAGAAACTACCTTGAACAATTATGTCAGTGTTTCCCCACAGGTTAGGAAGTCAGACCAGCAGCTTTCCCAAGAGACCAGAACAGGACAGGACCCAACAGGCCCTGCTCTCTGTTGGATTATAAGCATATCTAGAATATGTTTTGGGCACCAGGCCAAAGTCCAAGTGCTTCTTCACCCTGTAATTAAGCCACTGATATTGCAATCCAATTCTCACCTACAAGGGGAGCCTCTAAAGAACTTGATGGTTTATGTGATTTCCAAAGGAATATTCTCTCCTGACTTACTGACTTCTATGAGTATTCAAAAAGTAAAACTTTATCTCGGTTTAGTTTATTTTCACTCATAAGGAATATTATACAGCTGACCATAAACTACCGAGGATACATAATGATATCCACGTGATTTTTTTAAAGAATAAGAAGTTAAGTAGAACATGGTGGCACATATTTGTAATCCTCAGCACTCAGGAAGCTGAGGCAGGAGGATTATTGCAATTTTGAGACCAGCCTGAGCTACAAAGTGAGCTAAAGACCAGCCTGCACTACACAGCAGTATTTTGTCTCAAAAAATAAAAATAAAGAAATAAAATTTTATAAAATAAAAGTTAACAAGCTACTTAAAGAGCTTGAAAGTCTAAATAATTGTCCTAATTGCTCTTATTCAAGATATGATATACAGTGCCTCTTGTCTGCTATTTCTAGGTCCAGAAGAACAGCTGTAAATACAACAAAATCCCTGCTTTCATGGAGATTTTATTCCACAGGGAAACAAACACTCAACAACAAATAAGTCAAAAGTGGCGGATGTATGATAACAATAAGTCCTATGGAGAAAACTCAGTGCATGACTGGGCGTGAGAAAGAGTATCATTTAGGTAGTAATCGAAGGAGTGAGGGAATCCTGAATGTTGTTACAGATTACTCATTGCTTAATCCCCATGACCAGAACTTTATTCCTGGTTTACAGATAAGAGAGTTGAGGTGTAAAAATATAATGAAATGTGCTTGAAGCCATTCTACTTACAAAGGATAGGCTAACATTTGAACCTAGATCTTTTTCACACTTTTTTGTTGTTGTTTGTTAGGTTAGTTGTTTGTTTTAATTGTCAGTCATGCTAGGGCAGTGATGGCAAGCTTTCAAGAGCTTTCAGTGATACTAATAACTACTGCAGCATTCATGCTCTGGTTGCCACCACTACATTAGGGAATGAACTCAGCAGCATATACTAGGCAAGCACTCTACTACTGAGCTTATTTTGAAAAAGGAATTTCATTTTGCTTTATTTTATTCTGAGACAGACATTAAGTTGTTCAGGCTGGACTCAAACTTGCAATCTTTTTGCCTCGGCCTCCCACTATCGACATGTGCCATCACAACAGGCTACAGGCTGTTTTTAATCACCTTCCTTCTATCAAATCACCCAACTATCCACTATCAAAACTTCTATGTGCTCATATTGGGATCCATCTAATAGAAAAGTGTCATCATACTTTAAAATTTTATTTTATTTTCACAGATAATTATTTACTCCAAGTTTTGAATTACAGAAGTCCAATTTGGATAGCTATCACTTGATGACATCTCTTGTTCTTCCCCCAGTAAAATGGACCATCACGAGGTTTTAGATTTGTTACTTTCTTCCCATGCTGAAGACTTGTTTTAAGTTTAATTGTATTCAAAGTAGACTCACTTTTTCCCTTTCTCCCCCACGTCCATTTAGTTCAAGAAGAAGAGGAAGAAAAGAAAGACAAGAAGAAGAGGAAGAAGAGAAGAGGCAGAGGAGGAGGAGGAAGAGTAAAAAGAGGAGGAAGAGGAGGAAGAACCCTAATTTCAAAGCTCTTCAGTCAGGGGGCTAAAATCTTAACTTGAAAGGAAAAAAATACGTGAAGCTAGGCTCACTAAAATGAGTAAGAAAAACCCTCTCCATTTCCCTGGTGAGGGGCAACACAAAGCTGGCTGTTCGGGCACACATGCACCCATGCACACACAAGGGATGCCCCAACTGACCCTGTAGAGGGGAGGTGCTAGAACCATCCTCAAATCAGCTAACCAGGAAAAACTATGAGAACAGAAAGAGAGGATGAAAGAAGGATAGAGAAAGGAATCTGCCATTTGAAGTCTTTGTCATCATTTAACCTTCAGTTCATTTTTGTTTTCAATGTCAGTTGATCTCGGGATTAGGGTCAGGTATTTATTTTTGGCTTCATAACTGAGCTTCACACAGGAATGATTTCCTGCATGGGGAAGGAATTGCTTCCCAGACCAGCCTGTCCTCATGGCTCCTGCTTCAAGACATCTCACAGGACCTTGGCCTGCTGGCCTGTTGAGAAATGATGGCAGAACTCACTACTGGGTTGTCCCAGTTTTTAGTACCTTGATTCTTTCTTCTCTCCCTGGATGCTCATATAAAACAAGAAGGCATAAAGCCATGCATTAGGTGTAAGGATGGAAGGCTTTAGGAGGAAACAGGGAAGAGAAAGACTGTTCTCCAGCCACTGCAGACCTGTGGAGGTGGAGTTTGACAGCAACTGAGTGATTTGTGGGAAGACGAACTTACAAACCCAAGCTATCAAAGGAAACATTATCTTACTTAAAACCACAAATGAATTTTTTCTCTCTGCCTCTCAAGTCCAAAGGATGAGTGATTGAGGTTGTAAACCTTAAAGTAAAGGCCCCTTTGCCCCATGCTTAGCTCTTGAGTTTTAGCATCGACTGCACGTGGAGCATAAATAATAGCCTCATAAGCAAGAGTTGTAGAAGGTGCGGTAGGAAATCGGAGGCCCCTTCTGTGGGTCCCACAAAGTCATCAGGCCTTAATCAACTCCAGCTATTAAATAGCATCCCTGTTGAAGTTTGCCTTCCTAGCCTCTCTTGGAGTTCTTTGTGTGGCTTCTTGCAGGAGCAACGGTGTGCAGGAGTGAGTGGACACAGTGTGTACAGGAGTGCACGGATACAGTGTGTGCACAAGTGCGCAGTACAGTTTGCGGGCGGGGACCCAGATGCACCCAGAGTGACATACGGATGCTCCGCAGCTGAGTCTGTGCAAGAGAACGCAGCCGCCAAGTTGCACCAAGGAAAAAACTTTTAAGTCTCCCGTGTCACGCCTGTCATCTTAGCACCATCTCCTTCTATTGTCCTTTGCGCCTGAGCAAACAAGCACTCTGCGGCTCGAAGACCCAGCAGAACCAGTCTCAGGTCGCACAGCCGGAGCCGCGGGGAGCAGAAGTGCTGCTCCCGCCGCACCTGTGTGCAGGCAGAGCTGGCCCCCGGCGCAGTGGAACCACGGCCTCCCAGACAGCAGGGCGCGGTCTGACCGACTGGAGCGAGGCCGGATCCACCCGGTCTCTGCAAGGTGCGCTATCCCACCGGGTTCGATGTCCAGGTGTCAGAGCGCTGCCTGGCCCCGCCTCCTGCCCCGCCCCCCCCAGCCGGAGTGCGCGTGCCCAGATCTAGTCGCGACCCCCTCTCGCAGGCCCACCCAGGCCCCAGACAGCGCTTCCCGCGGTCCAGGCCTCCACCAGCGCAGGGGCGAGCTAGGAGCGGGGCCCTCGCGGTGGGTGTGACTGGAGCGTGGCCTGGCGCCCAGAGTCTGGCTGAGGGCCGGCCGGACTGCGGCGGGGCGGGGACGGGGCGGGGCCTGTGGCGGTAGGTGTGGGTTGGGCGTGGCCTGGGGCTGGGGAACCTGGCTGGGGCGGTAGTGGGGCGGGGCGGGCCTGGCAGGGGTGGGGCGGGGCCCTGTAGCGGTGGGTGTGTCCTGGGCGTGGTCTGGGCCGGCGAGTCTGATTGGGGCTGGGGCGGGGCTGGGGCGGGGCTCGTGCCCGCGCGCCCGGCTCAGTGGCGGCTCTTCCCGCAGGTCTAGTTTCAGGCCGGCAGCTCTGTCCCTCGGCGACGCCATGGCAGCTCCGGGCTCCCAGGCCGACTGCGGCTACATCCGGACCGTGCTGGGCCAGCAAATCCTGGGCCAGCTGGATAGCTCCAGCCTGGCGCTGCCCTCCGAGGCCAAGCTGAAGCTGGCGGGCGGCGGCGACCGCAGCGGCCAGGCGGCCAAGAGCTTGCGGATCCAGGAGCAGGTGCAGCAGACCCTGGCCCGGAAGGGGCGCAGCCTCGTGGCCAATGGTGAGTGTTGCCCGGACCAGGTCCGGCCCACCTGTGGCTCCTTGTCTTCCACGCCCCGTGCACCCGCGTCCGTCCGGGCATGCTGCCCAGAGTCTCCGTGGGGTGTCATCCGTGTGACCTGTGCAGGCTCAACGCGCGATCTGTGCGGAGGGGCCTGACGAGTTCACTCTTCCTTCCCTTGGTCTGATACTGGGCGACCCGCAGAAGCGGGGGTCTGCACACACTCTGAAATTGTATACAGAATTTTCCTGTGCACGATCATTTTATTCCGGGAGAAAGATCCCCACGCATGTATGAGGTATTTTAAGAGTCCGTCACCTCATAAATATTTTGAAAAAAAAAACCTAAAAGCACTTACAACCTGTGGATTGGGGTACTGCTGCATCGCCCAGGTACTTTAGGCACTCCGCCCAGGGTGCGCGGCCAGTGGCTGATCTGGGAGTGAACAGACTGGGGCTTTGGGCTGGGCCACCACCCCGCAGGGGAGGAGGGAGAGGTCGAGGAGGAGGAAAGGGACTCGAGCATGGCAGGCAGCATCTGCGCCCCTCCAGGCTCTGGGATGCAGGGCAGCGTCCCCACCTACCTCGGTCAGTGGTGCATGCGTGGGTGCAAGGCTGGGCTTTCTGAAACGTGGATCTCTGAGATGAAAGAGGTTCACTTACACAGACAAAAGCCATCAGTGGCCAGGGCGATTGGGAGGGGGGAAAGTTGGCAATCCAGTTATCAAAACTAGAGCGCGTGATATATCCTTTTCTACCCTGCTGAAGTCATGTTTTAGTTTAGTGCTTTTAAAATTACTCTTATAAAGCAATAGGCCTACCACAGAGGGAAAATGGGTTTAAAAAATGAAGGGTTAAATTGAAATAAGTTTATTTCCCCAACTTTTGAACTGTTTCTGTAGGAAGTAAGGTGGGCAATGGCCAATGCACAACCCAGGCCTATATATTTAAAACAGTGGTATGGGAGACAGAAAAGGATCTGGCAGTTAATATGTACACAGTGGAAGAGTAAACAGATGTTCAGTGATTATATGCCTATACTGAGTGTTTACTATATGCTCAGAGTTGGACTGTGTAGTTTGCATTCATTGAATCATTTTTTCGGTTTGGTTTGGTTTTGTTTAGAAAAAATGTACAAGCTAGATTTTTTTAACCCTCATTTTAGACAGGAAAACTATAAGACGATAAGTCATATTTAAATTCCCCCACATAGTACATGCAGAATTGGTATTTAAACTCCCAAATCTGAATTTTTAAGCCATTCAATTATATGATATTTCTTTTTGGTCTGTTAAGTGGCATTTAGTAGGCCCAAAGCCTCTTCCTATTTTTCCATAAATAAAATTGAGAAAGCTCTGAGAGCATCGAATGGGCTGAACCACACAGAACCACCACTGTCCTTGGGGGCAAAGACCCTGTCTTTGGCTTTAGGAGATTGGCCATGGACTGCAGAATTACAAGGACCAGTGCCGGGCCAGTGGAGTCCTTGCACTTACACTCTGAGCATCCACCAGCCCAGTGCTAAACTGGACCAACCAACTTCCTTTCCTTGGGGAACCTGGGATGCATATTAGATATTCTTTCTTACTCTGAGAGAGTATGCAGCCTGGAAAAACAAGCAAGCAGACAGATGGAAGGATTGAGCGGCTCCATGAGTAGGAGTAGGGGAGCGCTGCTGAACATCTATGTGCCTGCGCCTAGAATTCTAGAATTTCGTATACCTGCCTTTCTTTCATTATGTCCTGAAAACAGTTGGCTGAGATAGCTAAGAGGGTCCTGTTCACATGTGATGTATGTGTCTATCAACATGTGCTGAAAATTTAGTCCCAGCCCCACACATGATCTGTCTTCCCTACAGTATAAAGTACCAGCTGCTAGGCAAATTCATCAGCATCAAATGGGTGTGTTCTTTCTGCAAGGCACTGTGCTGATGCTGAATGAAACACACAGACTCCGCTTGCTTTAAGCAGAAAGTTTAAAGCCTCAAGCTAAAAAAAAATTAGTAAGCAATCCAAAAGAGCAACTAGAACATGACAGAGTGTAGAAGTACTATAAATTACTCCAAGCCGAGGAAATTTTTAAGTTTCATGGAAGAATCAAGATTTTAAATCTCAAAAATTGAATGGAACTGGACATAAGGCGGTTGGGATTGTATGTGAGGAGTGAACAGCGTAATGTTTCGTAGTTCGCTGAGTCGATGGGGTAGAACAAAGGGTACTATCTTGGTGCTTCTGTTCAAATGCTTGGGGCAGTTACTTGAATGGCTCTTCCAGCTAAAGAACAAAGCGTTTGAAATATTAGGGTTATAGCAACAGCAGCAGCAACAAGCTGAAATACACTCAGGAGCCTACACAGAAGTACAACTCGGGCAAAGAGATAAGGTAGCAAATAACATCTACTTACTTTAAAGCCTCAGCTTTCTGAGACTCAAAAAGGAAACTGGCTTCAAAGGAATTGAATATTAACACGTCTCAGAACAGTTATGGGGTGGTTCACATTAACTGTTTAATTAAAATTCTTTGAAAAGGTTTGGGCACTCACACTGGCTGTGAGCATTATTCTTATTATTTCCTTATTACTATTAAAGTTGAAAGAGACAAGCAGTTGTTGAAACAGTGCTGGTCTGGAAAGAATCCTGTATCAACACACGAAATTCCAGGAAGAAATAACCCCATGGTTAAATGCGGGTAGCGTCAGAGTTCTTGACATACCTATAAGGTTGAGGCAGCAGATAATCTGCTAGAGATGAGATAAATGTGGCTGATTCGTTGAGAAATACTCTGTCTGGGTCTTTAACCCTACACTTCTTTCGAATTTCTTTATATAAGTAAATGGTTTTCACTGTAAATCATTCATTGACTTTTAGTATTATTTTAAACTACTGAACATTTTAAAGCTGGCTATAACACTTGGTTGGGGTAAGGTTGAAAGATGTATAACCCCATTGTAAAATAAGTCCATATTGTAGGAAAATTTTAAAATCCTTGTATACAAGTCTCCATAAAGACATTTAAGAATTGCAAGTTACAGCAAAGGGAAAAATGAAAACTGTCCACATCCTATTTATTACATGTTGAAAGTTCTGTATTACTAAAAAGCCTCCTTGGGTTCCTAAATAGGAAGAAAGATGTGCTTTAAATTGAGGTATGTAACGCTAATACAATGGACAATATTCTAATGCAAGTTAGAGCTTCTTGGAAAGCAGTCATAGAAACCCAAGTCATATTATTTACATGATTTCCTGGTGAAGTGGATTTGAATGTCTAAGAGGAGTGAATTTTGAAGAGAGGAATGAAAATTGATTTAAGACAGCAAAAGAAGCAGTTAGTAGGTGCTACTGGAAATAAACCAAAAAAGGTATAGACATTATTGAAGTTCTATAAGAGTTCATTGCCAAAAAGGAATTCCAGGAATGAAGCAATTCTGGGAGCGAGGTGATTAGTCATTCAGAAAGTAGGCGAGATTAGGCAAGAAAAAAATTAGACGTGAGGTGGCAGGCGAAGGCCACACGACCCTGAGTGTGACACTCAGTGGTGACTCCATGTCCTCCCCACATAACCTATGAGCTACTGTGTTAGTGTCAGGCAAATTGAGTACTTTATTAACTTATTTATTTTTGGTTTTTTTGAGACAGGATCTCCCTATGTAGTGAATACTGGCCTTGAACACACAGTGATCCTCCTGCCTCAGCCTCCCAAACGCTAAGGTTACAGGCCAGTACCACCATGCCCAGTTTGGGTACATGCAACTTTTTTAAAAGTGTGGTGTTGTGTTTTGTTGTTGCTGTTTTAAAAGTTCTTCCGATTGTACTCAGATGAAAGAGAAAACTAGCAAAATAGTGATTCCAAATACAGACCTCTTCTAGAAATTGTGAGAACACATCATTTACCAGTGAAGTTTTAGGCGAATGTATGGTAAGGATGCATAAGAATCAGTGGAACTATAAGAAACCACAAAGACTCAGTCACTCAGTCAGATGATGAAAACACAGATACATCCCCCCATATGCCACGGGTAATATACAGAACATTCATTACCTTCAAGAAAAGATGCTGCTCACTTGGCCTTTGGAACAGAACACACACAGATAGTGCTGTGTGTGTCTGCCCTGGTGGGGCAGTCAGAAGAATGGGGCCAGCTCCCTTGAATTAAATATTCCAAGTGTTCCTTCCCACACAGTTTCCCACAGCATCATTTTGGACACAGGCTGTCACTTTTTTTTTCCACGTATTGAAATAAGCCCATATGTGTTTATCTTCAGATAATTAATTTCACATTGATTTTTGTACTACTCTTGAATTTCTGGTCTGATGAATAAAAATTATTAAAACTTTTTTTTTCTCAAGACAAATGTACCAGTATTAATGGCAGCCTGTCTTTTGATAGTTATCAAATCCAGTAGCAAGTATGTTGCTGAAAGCTCTGGAGTCTACAATCAGACTTGATTAACATGGCCTGTAAGAAGATTATTTGGTTCCATCTCAGATGATTTTCAGAGATTTAAAGTTTTGCAGTTCTGAGATCATTGTTGGGTTCTAGCTATTTTGGACATAAATTCCATACTGCTCTTAGGGGAAATAAACAAGTAGTTAAAACAATAATCCAAGTGAAAATAGACCATAAATTAGAAGGAAACTTAATTTTTCTATTAAAATGAACCATCTAACTTCTTTGATTTACTAGATTAAAAATAGTAGGAAGACTATATGGCCTGATTAATAATATAGACTATATGATCTTAAACTAGAATATTAAAATTACAGGTCTTTTATATAATATTAATGATCATTAGGTATTGGACCAAAAAAAGTAATGTTCTTACAGATCATCCAGGGAGTTCGACATGTAAACGTAGGCAAAAATACACATTTGAAGGGGAAAACCTGAGCATTTGAAAACACAGCTCACCATTCTGAGCACCTTTTCTCCTCTTCATATTCTAAGACAGAGCAGTGAAAACTATTCAAGCATCTTCCATCCACCTCAAGACAAACCACACAG